CTTACAGTACTACTTTCGTTCTAGCATAAATTTGCTGATCTCTTGGATATACTATTGATGACAGTCGGCAGTGTAGCTTCAATAGCGTCAGGTGTATGTTACCCATTATTGTTGGTGTTATTTCAACCCGTTACAAATAGTTTAGTTGATTACCGAAAAGTACAACAATTTAATGGCACTGGTGGAAACGTTTCGAGCTATAGTGGCCAATGGTAATAAAACAGAGAGCAGCCGTTTTTTTTCCCTGTCGACATCGCTCTGCGTCTTTTATTTTCAGTTTCGTAGAGGCATCACAGTCGTCGTCGATTTTAAATCCGTTTCAAGTTATACATAGTCTGATAAAATATTATCTCCTGCTCGGTTTTCTAAGTATATTATTTTATTGGATCGCGAATTCATGTTGGATGACTGCAGCTGAACGGCAAACTAGACGTATTAGGTGAGAGCGAGATATTGAAAGTTAAATAATATGAATTAGACATGCAACGACTCCGAATCTTGACTCACATGAGTCAGACTCGCTCTTAATTAACTCGACTCGTTGCACGTCTAAAAGGAATCTGTGTGCAAAAACATATTTTTATTTTATCATTAGATGCACTTTATTTCGCTCTATCATGTCGCAAGAAATTGGATGGTTCGATTTACGCAATGCGGGTGAATTATCCAGCCGTTTAGTTAATGACTTAGATACAGTAAAAGATGGTATCGGGTACGTATCTGTATCAGTTACTACAACGGTTAGCTGAACAGATTTTTCTCATTTTTTCCTACTTTAGTGAAAAAGTACCAGATTTTGTTAGCTTAATTACAAAGGTTACTGGTTGCTTAATCCTAGCCTTAGCCAAAGGATGGAAGTTAACACTTGTGTATATGGGTATTTCACCCTTAATAATAATTACATTTAATATAACACTTCGAGTAAGTACAACTAATTCTTGATTCTTCTCATTTTCTTCTTTTTCTTTTTGCCACTTTTGTTAGATTGTTGTGAAATACACAGCAGAGGAAATGCAAGCATCTGCTACAGCATCTGCGGTCGCTCAAGAAGTTTTAATGTCCATTAGAACAGTAACTGCATTTGGTGGTCAAAAAAAAGAAGAAGAAAGGTAACAAGTGCTGTAGTTTCTGGCTCTTCTGTAGTATTTCTGCCTGTCTGTCTCTCTCTGTCTCAGATTTAGTAAAAATCTTTTGTATGGAAAAATTATTGGAATTAAGAAAGCGTTTTATACGGGTTTATGTCAAGCATTCTTCAGTTTCATTACCTTTAGTAATTTTGCACTTATATTTTGGTATGCTCCATTTTTGGTTCGAACAGAATGTAAATCATATTCAGCAGGATCAGCTATCCTTATCATACTAGCTTGTATGTCAGCCACATTTTCAATTTCAAACTTATTTTCAAATATACAAAGTTTTGCTGAAGCTTCAGCAAGTGCACGTTATGTATTTGATATTATTGAACGAGTATGTTATACTTAGTCTCTATAGGGGGGTGGGGATATGCTTTATCTCTTTTCATGCATTTAAAATTTGTAGACATCTAACATTAACGCATTTAACGACAATTACGGCGATAAACCGGATTTGGTTGTAGGTGACATTGAGTTTCAGAATGTACAGTTCGCCTTTCCAGCAAGAAAAGATATGCCAGTATGTATGTAAATTAATCTAAGTGTATGTGTGTACTTGCAGCAAAAGCATACACATAATCTTGTTTTTTATTCAGGTTTTAAATAAGGTTTCAATGAAGATCCCTAGTGGCAAAACTGTAGCATTAGTAGGGGAAAGTGGTTGTGGAAAGAGTACAACGATTCAACTGATTCAACGTTTCTATGATGTTGATGAAGGACAGGTAGTCTCTCTCTCTCAACCTACGTGCTTAATAAATACGATAATAATATTCAGCTATTATTTCAGATTTTGTTAGACGGACATGATTTGCGTTCACTAAATGTGGCATGGCTGCGAAACAACATTGGTATTGTAGCACAAGAACCAGTTCTATTTACAGGAACAATCGAGGATAATATTCGTTTTGGAAAAACTGATGCAACAGATGAAGAAGTTGTAGAGTAAGAAATAATAGACTACTGCAATATGTCTATGTTCTCGTCCTCGTGTTATGATCGTGTGTTCTTTTACTTGTGCAGGGCGGCTAAAATGGCAAATGCACATGATTTTATCATGGAGTTATCAGAAGTATATTTGCATATTTTTTATGAAATTAAAAGACAGTATTCAACGTCACTATGTTTTCTAGAATTACAAGTCTTCAGTGAGTGATAAATTGAGTGGAGGACAAAAGCAAAGAGGTGAATTTTTCAAGGTAAGAATAATAGTCTCTGCATATTCTAATTATCTGTTTCTAGTTGCTATTGCTCGTGCACTTATTTCGAACCCTAAAATACTCTTGCTAGATGAAGCAACTAGTAAGTTCTT